AGAATAGTCCTTTAGTTGCAGATGTACCCTTATCTCCTTCTTGCAACCTATGTGTTCTACCCTTGAAGAATTAATTCTGTTGGTTTTAAATCAAAGAAAGCAACAAAACTATTTCAAGAGGTCATAAAGCCTGCTAAGATTAGTGTGAGTGGCCCAAAAGAATCATCTTTCAGTTCAGTATGGCTTCGCTGAAAATGTCTGGAGAAAGTAAAGCAGTGCAAGACTGTATGATCCAGCAAGGGGTGGTGGTGGGACCTGAGAGTGGAAGTGTTTTTGTCTCATCATTTATCTCTGGCAAGATGTTTTACCTTTCTCTTGTCTAATCTGTATACTTAGACTGTGAACTCTAGAGCTTAAACTGTTCTGTATTATGTAAGAAAAAATGTGTGTATTTCTAGGGTAATAAGAACAGAACTATTTCCGTGGGATACATACAAGGGAAGCCTACTGATTTTGAAAGCGTCTGGTGAAAAATGCTTGTGTGAGTGCAAAAGTACAAAGCAAGGCTGTTATTATTCCATTTTCACATGAATGATCTAAGTTGTTTGTGTCTGGGCTTAATATGCAGTTACTAAACCAGAGTTCCCATTATGGGCAAATAAAAGAGGCAGAAGATACGATAACCCATATGGAATCTAGCTGTTGCTGGCTGAACCTCACTGTGTTAGGTCTCTCCTTCCACCTCTGAGCTGCTCTCAGGAGGCAGAGGAAGATGTGATGGGAGCCAATACAGCCTAGCCCGAAGGCTTCACTAGCACAACCCAAAACGTCCTGGATGGAAATTAAAGTCCAAAAGCCCCCTCATGCACAACTGGTATTCCTTCACATATCCTGCTCCATGGAGCAAGATTAAGGCAAGAGGAAACTTGAGAAAGGCATTCTTACCAACAGCTGTTGAAAAACCTGCACTGGTAACCCAGCACTATAGTTTCCTCGTTATTGTGCTTTGTTTCATAAAGTGCATTCTTCTCATATCTTTGCAGTTCAAACTCCTGGCCGTGCAATAATTTGGGAAACCAGAGCAGGTAGAGCAGCTGTTTAGGCAGAATCCTTCATTTTGTCAAGAATGCAGCATTATGCAAACAAAGTTGATTAAGACCAAAATCAATAGTTGTTGTGGGTTTTTTGTTTGTTTGTTCTTTTTTTTTTTTTTTTGTCTGGTTTTATTATTATTTGTCTCACTGAAATTAATGGCCATGCATTTTTTTTTTAATGTTTTTATTATTATTTGTCTTATTACTTTATCTGTTAGCTTTTTGTCTTAAGCTGAAAAATACTGTTGTTCTGTCACTTGCTTCCAGCATCTGGAATTTCAACAGAAGATAAGTTTCAACCTGAAACTAAGGCAAACGTCTCCCCCATCTTGCCCCCCTGTATGGGAGCTGCTGAGTCACGGCCTGAACCTCTGATTGATCACCTGAGGTGAGCCATGAGTCAGCCACAGGAGCACAGGTGAAGGCAATTCACCTGTGCTGCTGGAAGGGGTGGAGCCAGGCTCCTCCTAGACCTATTTAAGAGCTGGCTAGCAGTAGGGAAAGATCTTGTCTGGAGATCCCCTCTTCTGGTGCTTTCTGTAGGTAAGCCTAGCATATGGGTAAGCCTTCCATTTATTCTCCCTTATTATCTTAGTCTACTTTGCCTACCTCTCTTGTTCTTTTGTGGTTATAGCATCTTAATACCCATTGATTATACACCCCCATGAACAACATTTGGAGTGTTAATAAATACAGTAAAAACATCCCCTTGAAAGAAAGTAAGACATTTTTTTCCCCACAGCCAGAGGCGAAGTGTGTACAGGACCCAAATTTGCCTCTGTCCTGAGCATAGTTGTACCAAGTTGTGTGGCTGGTGGTAAATATGCATTCCAGATACTGACTTGGGGATAATGAAGGTCAAGTACAGAAATGCTCAGATTATGTTAATCAGCTGAGAGGGAGAGTACAAACAATCTGCTCATAGCTTAAGATGCTGTACCCTCTTCTAAGAGTCCCTAGAAGAGAAGAACCCAGGTGTAATACGGAGAGGCTGCATGTGAGGTGGCTGATTTGCTCTTTGTGAGAACCAAGCCTCCTTCTATCTGAGTTCTCCAGGCAAGTGAAGCAGGAAGAAAGCTTTTGTGTGCTGCTTGGTGCAGGTGTGGGTGTTACTGCATTTATTCTTATGGTAGCTGCAACAGACTTGCCTGGGCCAGTTACTGCTTTTGAGTAGGAATTGCTGAGATCTGTATGGAGAACGCAGGCTCAGGGAGTTCCTTAGGTCCTTCAACAAACCACTATAAATTAGTTTATTTTATGCCACTTCTTCTCAAAACCAATAAATAGCTTGACAAAACCTGAGTGCTTTAACCCTAAAAATTATTTGGTCTTTAAGTAAACTAGTCTCTGCTATCCTTTATGAGCCTTGTGCTTCCCCAGCTGCCTGAGTTCTCTAAGGCCGGGGAGACATGGTTGGGGTTCCTGGGCACTGCCTCTGACAGCACACGGCTGCTATGGGCTTGTTA